ACATGACATTGTAAACATTTGTAGTCATGCTAAGAATGATCACTTTTTACACATAGATACCTCAAGGTGGAGAACAATATTTGGGGGTTAAACAAATATAAGGATGTAAAAACAACCCTTTAAGATTAGAAGTTTGATTTGATAATCACTTCTGAGAATTGGTCATATTTTATAGTTACAGCTACCCTCCATTGCAACCCCAAGCAGAGGCTTTTATAAATGTTTCCAGGAGAAGCTCTAAATGGTTTAAGCTCATTATAGAAAATCAAAGAGCCAAATTTTTCATACACAGAGCAATAGCCTATAGTGGACAGTCTACACTCTGGGAGACAGAGAGAAATGTGTTGGGGTCCAATACTGCCCACAACTGCATTCTGCCTCCTCCTCTGAAAAACTGGGGAGATAATCTGTGGGAATGGAAGAACAGCTTTCTTTTTGAAAGTGGATGCTGTGAAGTTCATTGTGCCCCCCACCCCAGTGCCCCAGATTCATATGCTGAATTCCTAACATCCAACGTTAACCTTTAGGGAAGCAACTAAGGCTAAATGAGGTCACAAGGGTAGGGTGTTGTTGTTCTGTTGGGAAGAGACAGAAGAGAGCTGGCCCTCCTTCTGCCCTGAGAAGACATGGCAAGCAGGCACCTGTCTGCAAGCCAGGAAGAGAGCTCTCACCAGAAACCAAACTGCCGGACCTTGATCTGGGACTTCCAACCTCCAGAACTGTGTGAAACAGATTTGTGTTGTTTAATCCATGCAGTCTGTTGCATTTGGTATTAGCAGCCTGAGCTGACTAAGACGGTGGAATTAGTACCATCCCTGTGTTTCCTGAGATAAAGGACTGTCAGTATCACATAGTTAGTGCTGTGACATCCCACTAACAAGATGACCCCAGACTGAAAGCTGCTTTATGCTTTGTTCTTTGTGGACTATTTACAGAGATGGGGAAAGGGAGGCTGATATTGGCGAGATATCCATACACAAACTTTAGATACAGCAACCTTATTGACATATGTTGAACACATGGTGTGGGGTTGTGAATATATACATATGCAGGATGAACATACTCTGTGGTTAAGAACAGGGTTTGAATCATGGCCTTGCTACTTACTAGCTGTGTGTCTATGGGCGAGCACTTAAGCTCTGAGCTTCAGCTTCTTCTTGCTAAAGTGGGAACAACAGTTGTATCTCACAGTATTGCAGGGAGGGTTAAATGAAAATTCTCAGAACAGCGACTGGTGGTAGAGCTTCACGAGAGTTCGTTTTACCCTCACAATGGTCCACATACACACAAACACATTCACAGGGTTCTTACAAAAATATGAAATATAAAAAAAAGGAAAAAATAAATCACAGCATTTCTATGCCCTCTGCACTCACTTCACATAGCCCATAGAATTTCCCTATCCTACCTGACCTTCCTAAATATTAAACTCTGTGGTTAATCTGTAAAATCTCATGATTACCTTCAAACTTATTGGCCACTTGTGCTTGGAAGAGACTAGAGGAAAAAATTAGGATGTGTAATAAGAGATAAGGGGCTGCAAAAACGGGGAATCACAGAGTAGGCTTAGATTAGAGGGATAAGAAAATGCTAGATATAATCATTTTATAACTACACGAGCTAAAAAAAAGAGTTCCATATAAATTGTAAATTGAAATTTCATTTTCAAACTACTGCTATTACTCAGAAGAAAATATTTTCCTCAAATCACAGCTGATTCAAATAAATAACTGAATTTTTGTTTTCACATTTATGCACTGCAAGGCATACACTAGACTCCAAGAAAAAGTAACTGTGACAGAAGTCTGCAAAGATACTTCATTAAACTAAATCAAAACTTTTCTTACTCTCTCTCCCATAAGTCAAATTTGACCCCATGCTTTTCCATTTAGGATTCATGTTTGTAAGGTTAACTCTGACCCAAGGTGTTGAATTTCCTCTCAACAGAAATTCAGCTCCTGCCATAGATGTTACTGTGGCATCACTTCACCATGGGAAGGAACAAGTGGGTCTGACAGTGGGCACAATAAAACATATTAAACTGATGTGCTTTGTGCTGAGAGTGGGAACATTCAGAACAGCTTTCTCTTCTTACTTTCATCAATCTTTGAAGAATCTTCAACCTTGGTTATTTTTCTTCTATGTGGTCATGGACTCAGAAGACTAATTTTGTTTACAAAGAAATTTTGATGGCCAGTAAATTTCATATGCTTTCTTTGTAAGAATTTAAAGATCTTATTTATAACCACTAAATTATATCCTGTCAGTTCCTCTCAATTTTACAAGTGATTTGAGTTTGATGTAAAATTTAGAACTTATCAGTCTGAACAACTCTATACCAGCTGTGATTGAATAAGGCATCAAGTAGCATAATATGTGGCAGAATCTTTCTAAGTAGCATTAGATGAAGAAAAAGAACAATTGCCCAAATATGTTAATAGACTCAACCACTGGCAATAATTCTTGGGAATTCCTTTTTTCCCCTGATAATGGATTTGATTTCATTATTGATATGACAATCTGAGAAAAATCCATGGAAAGTATGTAGTCAGAGACACTGGGGAATCATTTATTCTGTTTTCTTTTATAAAAGGACCAGTTTACAAAATATTTTTTGGTAGCTTAAAATAATATTAAACAGGGGCGCCTGGGTGGCTCAGTTGGTTAAGCATCCGACTTCGGCTCAGGTCATGATCTCGCGATCCGTGAGCTCAAGCCCCACATCGGGCTCTGCTGACAACTCAGAGCCTGGAGTCTGTTTCAGATTCTGTGTCTCCCCCTCTCTCTGACCCTCCCCCATTCATGCTATGTCTCTCTCTGTCTCAAAAACAAATAAACGTTAAAAAAATTTTTAAAATAATATTAAACAAAGCAGTTAAGTGAAAAATAACAGCAAAATCCATTTATTAGAAAACTTAGGCATGTCATCACCTAAGTTTCTTTTTTTTTTTTTTTTAAAGGTAGAGGGAAACGAGGTGACGTCTTTCTTTTTAAAAAAAATTTTTTTTTTCAAAGTTTATTTATTTTTGGGACAGAGAGAGACAGAGCATGAACGGGGGAGGGGCAGAGAGAGAGAGGGAGACACAGAATCGGAAACAGGCTCCAGGCTCTGAGCCATCAGCCCAGAGCCCGACGCGGGGCTCAAACTCACGGACCGCGAGATGGTGACCTGGCTGAAGTCAGACGCTTAACCGACTGCGCCACCCAGGCGCCCCATCACCTAAGTTTCTAACAATGTAAGATTTCATCTGGTTCACTTACTTAAAAATTTATTGGAGGGCGCCTGGGTGGCTCAGCCGGTTAAGCATCCAACTTTGGCTTAGGTCATATCTCATGGCTAGGCTCGTGAGTTTGAGCACCGCATCAGGCTCTGTGCTGACAGCTCAGAGCCTGAAGCCTGCTTTGGATTCTGTATCTCCCTCTCTCTCTGCTCCTCCCCCACTTGTTCTCTCTCTCTCTCTCTCAAATATAAACATTATTTTTTTTTTAATTTTGGGGTGTTTTCTATTTTTCTAAATATAATTTTAAAAATTAGGAATTATCTGCCTATTTATTTTATAAAACCACTTCTGCTAATCAATTATTCCAGCTTTGGATCTGGCCAGTACTAATATTTAATTTACCTGAGTAAATGTATGCTAACTGATCAGTGTTCATCATTAGTAGTTTACAGATATTACCATTTAGTAGATATTGATCTTTCAAAAAATATTTTAAGTGGAAATAAGCAGAAGTAAGTTTAGGTGATTAATGGAAATGTTAACTCTGGGTAGACATTTTTATATATTGCTTCATTTTTATTACTCTATGTGTGTAATGTCCAGAGCCATGTTCTCTCTGAAGAAGAAGAGAGAACCTCTTCTTCATGTTCTCTCTGAAGCAGAGGCATGGTGGGAAGACTCAGAAGAGAGAAACCTGAAGACCGAATCATGAAATAAAATACTACTATGTGGAAAATCTTATGTTAGTGTTAACATTCAGATGCTCAATACGCAAACATTAAAAAGCATTCTTGTCGAAAGAATGTTTTCCTCCAATCTTATGAGATGGTGCCTTCTGAGACATGATGCCTGCAAACAGGTTCTGCTGACAGTAGACATCCAAAGCAAGACACAGAATATACAAACTGTAGACTCTAAGCCAGCAAATACTAACATCACTGACAACCAGTTGCAAAAACTTCTAAACTCCCCCTTTCTTTAAAGAATAAAACATGCTAAAGAAAATACAACACATAAACTATTCTTGTTCTCCTCTAGAATTCTACTAATTACCTTTGGGGTAAAAACAATGGAAACCTAATTTATCAGTCTGAAAATCATGGTAATAGCAAATTCATATCTACCTGGGAATTGATGGATAACTCTTATTTATCTCCATTTTCCTTTGTGTAAAAACCATGCCTGTTTCTCTACATGAATCAGCTTTTAGCAAAAGAATGGAAGGAGAATAAAATACTCTGAATCACACCAGCATCTGATTCATGGAATGAAAGCTTTCTGACTTCAAAAAGAACAATAGTAATGCTCTAAGAAAGTTGTCCTAACTTTGTTTTTATTTATTAAATGAAGTTTACCGTAGAGAAAAAGCTCACATGATTTATGGTTTTTCTCTGTAGAGCTACAGAACTTTAATCCATAGCTCATGAAAGGGTGTAAGAGCAGCTTGAAAATTATGCTGAGCTTAATTATACTTAATGTGAATTATTCAGAAGTGCAGACAGAGACTAAAAATTTATTTCATACAAAGAAGCTTGACATTTTAATTGGTCCTTCAGAATAGAGACAAAACAATTTCCTCTCAAGAAAATTTACATCTTCCCCAACAGACCTGCAGCTTCAGCCAAACAGAACTTCATTAACAAGATTAATTATCACGCCAGTGTCTGCTTCATCAGGTGTATGGCCCAGGTGATAAAAGGAATACAAAATAATGACTGACATTCCTAACAGATAGAATTGATTCAAGGAGAGAAAGGATGACAGATTGAGCCACCATACCTTGGTCATTAGCCATTTTGTCAGGGTGTTCTACTGCGGGGGAGAAAGAAATATTATTAGACATTGACACTTCCTAGCAAGAAAGCTGACACTTCAAATCAACAGTTTTGTTAGCAAGTTTTCGTATCAAGGCCAAAGCCCTGTTGAAATAAAGTTGATAAGGAACCATGGTTGATGTGATTATTTCTATTAAATAGTAGAGGAAAAAAAATGAAAACACTGGTTTTGCTAGGCGTGTTCTTAAAAATATGTGATTTGTTTTATTCCTCTACACCTCAACTCAAGAATGATTATCATGTGAGCTTAATTAAAATACAATACATACAAAAAATGCATGCAATTACCAAATACTTATCACCCGTATGTTTTAAATAAGCTAAAGAAGCTATTTTTTGTCTTCAATTTTTTTTCAACAAGAGAACTTAACTAATTTCCACATGGATGGAGTAAAATAACAGAATATAATAAATATGTTTTAATCTAAATGATTTGATAAGTTTTTAGACCTTGTGGAGAAAACTCCTACTGCTCACAACTTCTGGCACATTATGAATACCGTTCTTGAAAATGATTTTTTTCAATTTAAAAATATCCCTAAATTTTTTAAGGTGGCTTCTTTTCTATTAATAAAAGATAACTGTGTAGGAGGTAAGTCCATGGTATCATTACTTTAATAAAATTGTGATGTGACATTTTGACCAATGTCGATCATTGTCAGTCTCCATCAATTAGAATTATTTCCCCTATCCTGGAGTTTCTTTGAGCTTCCAGTCTTCTGGGTTTATTGAGCTCAACTGTACTAAAACTTGACATGTAGGCTACTACCCTTGCTGTTTGCTTCTTTATATGTCTCAGTTAAACTCACACAGAGAGAAATACGATAGTGTTCCTAGAGCAGCAACCTATAACCCAAGCACCCTAGTTCTCTCATTCTGGGTAGCTAGCAGTCTCCAGCAATTCCATCATCGTTGCTTGAAAAATAACTTAAAGCAAATATCTTAGAAGTGGTGGCCCTTCCTTTCCTGACTGAAGGTACACAAATCATTGACCAAAAGAATATATAGAATGGAAATACTTAAAAGCCCCTTTCAGATGAATAGGGTTTATGAACGTCACATCATAGAAGGACAAATTCCTAAACTTAGTTACAAATTTCTATCACTTTTAAAATAATTTCCTTTCTTTTATTTAAAATTAATATATAGACAAATTCTATGAAAAAAGGATAGACCGAGAAACGTATCTTAATCTGCAGTAGACTTTGAATGCTGAATGACTCTTTGGAAAATGGTCAAGAGTACTTACTATATTAAGATTCTACCAGCTTTAAATAAATTTTATAAATGTCATTGTAGCTCCTCAAGATTTAACAAACATTTTTTTTTAATTCACCAGGTTGTCTAACCTAATCTTTCCTAGTCTAATCATCACAACTTAATTTTTTTCTTAATTTTCTCTCCCATTTCCCATTAAAGACTAATAACCTCTAAGGATACATTTTATTATAGTATTAGGAGACTGTTGATGAAAAGTGCTTTCGATAGGCAACTGCATTATCTAGTTTATAGAGAGGGATAGGATTTTTACCGAGATCCTAATGTAGTTTTTGAGACACGACACTATGTTGAAGGAAGTGCCACACCAGGTCTCTGGTAAGAATGAGGAGGGATATGTCAGGATCATATGTGACCGTGCAACCCAGAAAGGGTGAAAGTTTGGCATCCAGAACAGGACACACTTGAGACACTACCTTAGTCAGCATCTCATATTTAGGGGACATATGTTTGGGATAACATCAATAAAAGGGAAAAAAACCAATTTCATCCCATTTTCTTCATTTCTCCCCTTTGTCTCACATATGTATTATCTAGTTTAAGGAAATTTTTATCAAGTGACAAGTAAATATACGTTATGGGCAACAATGTCATCCTATTCTTATCCTCTGGATTTGTTTTACTTTTAGTAATTTGGATTGGATATAACTTGAGAAATTTGAATGTCTCAAGAAAAATTATCAACTAGAGTATTTCCCAACAGTGATAAAATATATCCTAATAGTTACCTTTTATTAAAGACAAATAATGGCTTAAAAGTGTCATAATTTGTGTCTTGACTTTTTATTTGCCCCTGTCATTTGTCAAGAAAACCATGTATTTTGTCAAAAATAATTTGTAGACTAAAACTTTTTTGTATTCTGGTATGGAACTTTCAGTTCTATATCCTTAGATGGGAAAGATGCTCACTTCAGTATGATGATTAGGGATGCCCAGAGAATAGACCATACTTTAGTGCTGTTTCATTGCCAAAGACTCTGCTTTTTTGTGTGTAGGTGACTCCACCTCTTCACAGAATCCCACTTTGGTCTGTTTTGGCAGAAGCATCCTGTCTTCCTATTTCTTGACAGGCCAACATGGAGAAGCTTAGTTTACTGGAGAGGACAACACATGTGATAGACAGAGATTGACATGCATCTTGTACCTCTTCCAAGGGTTTAACAGGGTATGGGTATCCTAATGGAGAGTATTTGGGGAAGCAAGGGGTATAACTGCAGAGTCCTATGTGGTTAGAGAATCAAGGTCAAGGTTCTTTTAATTAACATTCCAAAGAAACAGTCAGATGTACCACATACATGCATGTACACAAGGGTATTATAATTTAATCCCTTTTTAATTATAAATGCCATTTTCATTAACCTGTGATTACTGATTGAGTTCCCTATACCTCTCTTGCTGGTGGCTAAAACCAAAGACAAAACTCTAGTCTCTCATAGGAAATGCTACTGTCATTGCAAAGACTGTGTATGAAAGAATGAAGTTTGTAGACACCTGCCTGGGGCATGATTTGCAATGAAACACTTGCCTGTTACCCAGGAGACTACTGAGAGCTTTCTCAGCTTCAGGACAACATGTGAGCCTTTCTTGCTGTCAAACAAAGTTACATTCTGATGAACAGAGACCTTATGTTTTGAAGCAGCTTTGGAAACTAAAAATCTTAAATCAGAGAGCAGAAGCATGATTTGATGTCTTTAGGATAGATTTGGTTCATTGTGGCTTTAAATCTCTTATGAGTAATTTATTTGATGTAGAATATTTGTCATTGTAACATGTAGGATACATGCATGTACAATGTCAATTATTGATAAAGATAGGCAAGATCCATATTTCTAAATAATTTAGAATGCAATCAAGACACCTAAACCTTAGTTTACTATGTGACCAAGATTTGTTTTAAAATCGAATTGACTATTAATTGAGCATGACCTATTGAGGACAGACAATATTAAACATCCAAATCAAGATATTAGAAATAATGCTTGTGGACAATTATAACAAATTCCTGAATTTGTTCTCAGTTCTGAACATCATTTCATAGATGAGTTTAAGGCACTTAAGGTAAATGGTACCAAATGAGATACAGAGTTCATTAAATAATCTACAGGACGGTTATCAGTGTGGGTCTGTAAATCCTGTGATCACTCATCACTCTGCTGTTTAATACACTTGGATGCCTTAAATCATCTTAAATCCTCCCTGAGATCTCTAGTTGGCACACGATGTGAGCATGAAATTAATTTGGCACTTGTCTATAGATAAAGACGAAGCATTTGTGAAATAGTATCTAGTTACATTTCATGCTCCCACAAAATGAAGAACCAGTTTCCTTTCAGTTGCTCATTTGGAGTGAAACTTGATTTAGACATGAAGTCCTAAAAACCCAGAGAGATGAAGATTAACTCATTTCCTCCTGCCTCCCTCCCTCCCCAACTTCTCCTCTGTCGCTAAGAACTGTCACTAAGGCTTAGTCTGAATGCTTGTCTGTGTATTCTTGGCAAACTTTCAGATTTAGCTGTTACCAAGTCCAGCTTTGAAAGGCTAGCTCCTTCACCAGAATTCAACAGTCTACTATTTATTAGGGTACCTTTCCTAGGGGAATTGAATGACTATACAATTATTCTAAGACTCTTCTTTCAATATGTCAACCAACTGGGTGAAAATGTCAACCATCCTCATGTTTCTAATTTTTCAGTTGTTTGCCATCATGTATTACCAAGTTTTCAGCCAGATATACAGACATAATGTGGTCACAGGTTTAAAAGAGAGTACCTGGCTTTAGAACAACACACATCATACCTAAATGAACATCTTTAAATATCAGCTATGAAACATTCAATTTTTTTTTCAATTGCTAAATAACAGAGGCTCTTGAAACCATTTGTCTCCCAGAAAAAATAATACTGTTCTAAAATAGTAAGGACTAACATGAAGTTTATTTTGATGTAGTCACTGTTCTCGGGCCTTACCATTTTTCTTTATGAAGATATAACTATGCTTGAATTGAGTAGCTATTTTTACTCTTGCAAGCATGGGGAGTTTTATTCTAGTAATCATACTGCAAGATTTTTTTTTTCTTGTTGCTACCCTAGGTCTTAAAATAAACACATTCATTTTGTTTGAGATTTTCTGTCTTGCCATATCAACTTTTCTTTTTACATATAAGGATAATAGTTCCTCAAAGAAAACATTTAAAAGGGCAGTAGTATGGCATTCACATAATTCAGTGCTTTTTAATTTTTATTTCCTTACCTAAAATGGCAAAAAAGTTTCACTATATTTTGAATAGAACCACTATACATGAAATCAATACAAAATTCCAAAAGGATTGTAAATGAAAAAAAAAAGTCAAGTTAAATATTCCTGCCTTGTGCCAATGGCAGAAAATGTGATAACAAAATAGACCTTTCTTTGACATGCTGGCTTTCAGCATAAAAATGTACATTTAAATTTATTTTTAATGTCCATTGTAGTCATGCTGCCAACAGAGATGGCAAAGACAGTTCCTAACTCAGACTCCATAACTATTTTACAACAATCCCACAGAAAAAGAAAGGCTGTACTGTACTAGAAAATGATTCAAACCTTTCAGAGTCCTGAAGAGGATGGGATCAGACAGGGGCCCAACTCCTTTTGCATTTCGTGCTTGAATTCGAAAGTAATACATAGTGTCAAGGTTGAGATCCATGATTTGATGAGTAAGCCGATCACCACTGATTGTTTCCATAACCCAGTCATCAATTGGTATGTTCTTATCCAAGGTATAAAACAAGATGTAAGCTGCGTAAATAGATGAATTTAACTTTGTTTAGTATACTGACTGCATGCTATACTTCTGTTTCTAAACACTCATGTTTCCCAAATATAATTTGCAATGATTTTTTTACATTCACAATCTATAAACTACAGTATTCACTTTGGCAAGTAATGATTTTTTTTTGATATTGCAAAGATCAGACAAATAATTGCTTCAATGTACAGAATCTGAAAACTGAATAGACCATTTGAAACAAAAATATCTGCCATATTTAAAAATACAAGGTTTCTGCTGCCTATAAGTCTTGTGCATGGATTCCTGACTGACAGAAACACTGAGATAACAAATGTGTGTTGTTTGTGGCGATACCGTTACGCAGCAATAGACAACAAAATAGGCTAATTGTGACCTTGGCAATCTGCACAGGTGATTTCTGTATTCAAACAAGTTCAGGAATCACTGCTTTAGTTGATATGTGGAATCTGTACATTTTTGGCATCTGTTGAGATGTTGATGAGCAGATATGAATGTCTTATAATGCAGAAAGCTCAGTAAAAGATGAAAGACCCAGGTAAAGAATTCTGAAAAACTTGGAAAGACTATCTGAAACCTCCTTCTGGTTCATATTAAAATTGGAAGACCATAATTCAAAAGGGATTGTGAAATATCACTGGGCAAAGAAGCTGTTTCTGACTCATTTATTTTTTTTTATTTTTTTTTTAATTTTTTTTTTCAACGTTTATTTATTTTTGGGACAGAGAGAGACAGAGCATGAACGGGGGAGGGGCAGAGAGAGAGGGAGACACAGAATCGGAAACAGGCTCCAGGCTCTGAGCCATCGGCCCAGAGCCCGACGCGGGGCTCGAACTCACGGACCGCGAGATCGTGACCTGGCTGAAGTCGGACGCTTAACCGACTGCGCCACCCAGGCGCCCCGCTTCTGACTCATTTATAACAACCCCCATGATCAATATCAATACAATCTTCTAATATTTCTTGAGTCAGAATAGTCTCCATTCTTGTCCTGAATAGAAGACTCTGGTATTTTATTTATTTATTTGTTTGTTTGTTTGCTTGTTTTTAGCTTTTATCATGTGCATATCTTATCTTTTCAAAAGGATACGAACATTCCTTTAGTTCAGGAGCCATATCCTATATTGCTTTTTATTCTTCAGAGAAACCAATAAAATCAACTTCACATAATAGGTATTGAAACTCAGTTATTGAATGAAATCCTCTGGCCAGTCAGCACATAATGTTTTACATTCATGATATTTAATGCAATTGTAGAGGTATTATGGGCTGTTGTAAGTGTTCAATGACACTGAAAACTTGGAAAATTGTATTCTCCTCTCAGGTCAGCCATATTTATTCCTGATTTTGTTTATTTATCAAATGAGAATAAAATGTTTGCCTTCCTTGTGTTTTGGGGATTTTTTTTTCGTTCGTAAAAAGCATTCAAGTAAGAATTTAAAAATGACAATTCTGGCATCAAATAAGTAGGATTAAGTGTGTAAGATCAGCTTTTGACAATTCCCAATTTTATTCGAAGTGATTCCCTGATACGTATGGGGAAGTCTATCTTTTTTTTTTTTTTTTTTTGTAAATTTGAGACCTGAGATGGAGAATAGAAACTTACTGCTACATCATTCTCTAATCATCAACTCTAAATATTGGCCTTAGAGAAACCATATAATTTCATTTGGATGTATGAGTTTGGTGTGGGACTGAAGTCTTAGCATACGGATTTCCACACAGGTTAGAACGAATCCGTTGGTTTCCCAGAACCTCTTTGTATCTATATGTTCATTTCTCTGTGTCCAAGTTTTTTTCTTCATCCTTTTTCTTACTTAAAAAAAGTCATTTTAGAGAGAGAGAGAACATGAATGAGGGAGAGGGGCAGAAAGAAAGAGAGAGAGACTCTCAAGCAGGCTGCATGCTCAGCACAGAGCCTGACACAGGGCTTGATCCAACGACCCTGGAATCATGATCTGAGCTGAAATCAAGAGTCAGACGGTCAACTGACTGAGCCAGCCAGGTGTCCCTCTCTTACTTTTTTCTACTTTCTTTTTGTCTCTTACCCACCATAACCAGCCAAATAATGAAAACTATATCCTGTGTTGGGTGATAAGACCTGGGATTGTTAACACAAGTGGGCACTCCTGCTAGAATCACATTTGTCTAAATACGTATAAAATGTAACATCATACATCTGTCATTTTGACTACTTACACAAATAGGTAGTTGTAATTCCAAAAGGAAAGTGTCAGAAAATGTGCAATTCCACCTTTCTCCTCTCTTCTGTCTTTTTCTGTACTTATTCCTACAGACCAATGATTCCCTTCCATGAGTCACCTGCTAAGTATCAGGAAGACCAAGATGATTCCTACTAGCAAGGAGCTCAGCCCAGTATGAGCTCTTCCTCTTTCAAAAACTGATTCTAATAATCATGTATATCAATAGATATATAATGGTGGACTCATTTCTTCCTTCTTTGTGGTAAAAAAAAATACTAAAAAAACAAAAACAAAAATAAAAAAAACACCAGGCTATGGATTCAGGAAGACCTGACTTCAAGCCATAGGTCTATCATTTTCTGACTTTGCAACCTTGACCAACTTGCTTAATCTAAGTATGTCTCAATATTCTCATCTGAAAATAAGTTGCCATGAGGTAATGCATTGTAGGAATCTAATATAGGTGGGTGTTCATATTATAATATCTTATATATAGTGACTACGTAGTAAGTGCTCCATCAATTCATTTTTTTCTCTCCTTCCTTCCTTCTTTTCTTTTTTCTTTTTTTCCTAATATTAGTAAAGCTTAAGGAAGTGTCATATTTGGAAGAGCTAGAACTTTGACTTCAAGTCAAGCAATAGATTTAATAGCAATTCAATGATTATTCTACTCAATAAATATTTATTAATTAACTACTAAGTGTCAAGAATATTGATACTGAAGACAAAGTATTGATCAAAATCTGAAACCTGTTTTTATGGAATTTTCAGCCACATAATAAGCGTTTAGATTTTTTTCTCCTGATTATATGAGAAGGGGAGGTAGAGGAAGAAGTCAAGATGGCTAAATTTCCAACTTTGCAATGGGGTGAGCCTGAAAATTTTTTAAATGATGGGAGTTAGAATATTTAGACACGTCTGACTGTAGTGAGTGCTCAGTGGGGCCACAATCCTGGACGGTCTTACAACCTATTACAGAATATAAGAATGCATTATTTGGCTGGTTACGGTGGGCGGTAGACAAAAAAGAAAAAAGAACAAAAAGAGAAAGAAGGGAGAGAGAGAAGGATTGGGGAATAGTAGGAGGTGCCAATAAAAGAGGCAAGTAGAAATGTATAATATGAGGTAGGATATGCATGTTTAGAATTCCTTGGATGGAGATGCAGATTTCAGAGACATAAGTTTGTATTCACCAAAGTCTTGGCTATACTATACACACTTTTTCAGATAAAGTAACAAAGAGAACGAAAAGATCTATTTAAGAAACGGCAAATAAAATGTCTGCTAATAAGACTGAGAAGCTCTAGCCTGAAATTAGAAAGAAAAGTGGGTAGGTGATCTTACAAAAGTCAAGAGGAAAGAGAATTTAAGAAAGAGGAAAACAGGACTAGAACATCAAATGACACACAAAAAAGATAACATAATCTTATCCATTGGATAGTACTGATACGGAAACAATCTCTGAAGACCTAACTTTTTTTTTTAACTATGTTGGTCTCTGATGTTAATGTTGGATGCTGCATTTATTTAGATCAATGTTTCAAAACTCTAGCTGTACATTAAAATCACTTGGGGAGCTTTTAAAATATAGCATGCTCAATCCTTTCTCAAATAAATTAAAACATAAATCAGTTGAGAATCACTGATTTGAACCAGTTGAATACTAATAAGCTGGAGCAAAACATAGTGTAATAGTGAAGAGTATGAACATGAGTTTTAAATCCTAGCTCTGCTACTTCTTGGTTATTGGACTCTGGGAAAGTTATTTCCCCTAGAAATCTCTCGTCTCTTTATTTTGAGGTGGAATAATAGGAAGATGGAATCCCGTATAATACTAAAGTGCTTAGCATGATGCCAAGCATATAATAAATTCTCTCCATTCTCTCCTGAAAATCTCAGTACAAATTCCTAAGCTGCCAGTTTACAATCAAGGAATCTAGGCATTGGCATTATCTAGATCTCCTTCTTTGTCCTCTTTTTTTGTTTAATCTTTTTGAAGTATATATATTTACAAATTGATGCTCGGTTCTATGCAGAGTACATGAGTAAAGCCACACCCTAGAATGGATTTCAAATGGGAATAATAACAGCAGATTTGTTTTAGTTCTCACTGGACATCAGAGACGTTTCTCAGCAGTTTATTATTACATTCTACAAAAGAAGTTATATTACTATCCTTATTTTTATGGATGAGAAAGTGACCTTAGGAAAGTTAACTTACCCAGGTATCTCCCTCAGAAGCTTAGGGTCCTAACCACCCTGCTCTACTGCTGTGTGCATGCAAGGACTTGGGAAACAAAAGAAACATAAAGGTAGGATATGAGCACATTCTGCCACATCGGCACATACACGCTCTGACACTTTGGAAAAGAGCTCACATTTCCTTTGTACTTTAGAGAAAAACACAGTGTAGTAAATCTGGGCCCTCTGCTATATGGTATTTTGAATATTTCGGCATCCTGTTTCCTGGAAGTAATTTCACTGAAAGAATCAATATGTATGGAATAGAAACTATCTTAAGGGTTTTGCTCCCTGTTGAGTTGAGTCCAATTATGTCAACTTGATAATAACAATTTTGTTTTAATAAATAAACTAGGCTTTTGACGGTAAAAAGTATTGCATCCCATACTTCTATCTTACCATCGTGAGAGATTGGATACCGAACATACAACTTTTAGTAACATATGTGGAGAAGGTTTCTTATACATGCACTGTCACTTTGGCACACAGAATTTTATTGCTTAGATTAATTTGCATTTCTTAATATGGAGCAGACTTCCATTTTTTCCCTGAAAAAGCAAAATTAAGCTTCCTTTCAGAGTTGAAAACACATTCCATTGTTTACATTGACTATTTGATGAGATTCATTTCAATAAGAGTGGAGAATTTGGGTAGTATATGACTTATTTTATCCCTTACCAAAAAATATGTACTTTTTCCATCAGAACTTGTTTTTATTTAGACAACTTCTATTCTGTTTTTTTTCTTCTTAAGCTTATTATCTATTGATTTACCATATGCTTATAAATAACTGTTTATAACATAATAAAAAAGTCATCATGTAAACAAACCAAAATCTAAAAAAAGCACTGAAATAGAACCAATGAAAATACATCATAACACTGAGGGGAAACAGAAAGAGAAAATTAGAATGAGCCAGGCTCAGTTTTAGAAAGTCAGGCAGAGTGACAACTCAGCATATAAGATTTTGGGGAGATTTAATATCCCTCTTCTTTTTCTGTATTTGTCAGCTCAAATGAAAATTCTGTTTGCTATTGCACTAAGAGCAATTTCCTAGAGAAAACAAGTCTTCAACTTAAATTTAAATCTCATTTGGAATTTTCACATTATCTTTTCATTTTGGAAAATTCAGAAAGTAACTCACACAAAGTAAGTGTGCCATCTGAACTGTAATTTCCAAGCTTATCTCTGTTATCACAGAATGACTGAATTACTTTGCTAATTTATAATAGTGTTATCCACTTGTATGAAAAAAAAAGAAGAAAAAGGAGTGACTCTTACATGTGCCTAACCCAATGGTTCAAGTTAATTAGACTATAATGTGCACATTTTTAGTTATACAATATTTTTCATAATAATTATATGCTATGGAGACATCTATTAAAAGCCTAAAGTGATCATTTAAATGCAAAATCCCTGATAGAACTCCATTATATTTTTCATACTAAATTAACATTACAGGCTTCTAATGGATGCTTTAATTAGGCATTGATGTTATCAGCAATATTTGGCAAAATAAAATGTGTCACTGTGAAATATTCATTAAGTTCAATTTCTGTCAGTCAATATTAAGTATTTTATGAACCTTATGATTTAAGTAAGAAGCTAAAAGCTAAAGTGAGGAACTAAAAACCTCTTTTGTATGTGCCATTCAAAAATACATGGTCATTAGGTGTCTTTTGTATTTTATAACTGCCAAACAACCAGCTTCTTGTTAGTCATTTATGCTCAGAGACATTCCATTAGAAGGTTGTCCTAATGCTCCACAAGATGAAAGACAAAAGGTCTATACTAATTAAAATACACATCCTTCAAGAAGCAACTCAAGTGAAATGTGTGTGTGTGTGCATATTTGTAGGCACCTTTAGAAGAAATTCCATGGTCAGTGGGGGGCAAGAAGAGACAACCAGAAAGCATCAGGGAGTACACAGAAATTCTGGGACAGAAAACAAATACACAAAAGGCATGGCCAGTACACACGAGGTAAGCAATCGCAGGGCAAGCAGAGCAATGCTGGGAATGTAGCAGAGAGGCTTACCGGTAATTTTCCCATTGGCTTCCAAGGGAGGCTGCCAACTCACAATGACAGCACGAGGCTTCCCTTCTCGAGTAATGACTGTCAAATCCTTGGGAGCAGAGGTCGGGGCTAGGAGAAGAAACAAAGACAAGGCCTTGTCATTGGATGTGAAAGAAAACAGACGTTTATGAGACTTCTAATCATGATGTTGACACTCAGAATCCATCGTGCAGTATATCATGTTTATCCTACCAGTTTCGATTTATTTCAAGTGTTTTAATTAAACAAGCAAACAAAAACACAGAAATTAATGTTTTTTCCATGGAAGTCAAATGACTTCCAAAGGTGTAAATATGGAAAAGAGAACGGAGTATGTGTGAATACAGAGAAGAAAAGTATAACGGATATTTCCAAGTGAGCACCACACTAAACATTTAAGAATTATTATAAGAACAAAGAAATGTACACATACTTAGTGAGATTGATGGCTACCTGTCTCCAAGAGACAGAATTCTGTACCAACTGTAGGATTTATAAATACAAATGTCACCTAATTCTATATTTTCTTAAAAGCAAGAAGAAGAAAAAAGAAAAGAATGTACTTAAATGCATTAAGATGTTTTAACCATCTTTCCTAGGTAAACATACTAGGTTATCTCCTAACAAGAAGGCAAAAAAAAATATTTGAAAATAGAAGAGGTATGGAATCTATGAAGGTCTTAGTATCAGTCTGGCGTGGAATAGGAAGGCACGAAACTCTGCCTTTCTTAGAGTTACTTTTCCTACATGTTGTTGAGGGGAGGGGCAGAATTTATCACCCCAAAATATGCCTCTTTGGCCTAAAGACTATTTTAGGCCTCTTTGGCCTAAAGACTATTTTATTTCAAGACCACAAGAGACATCGGAAAAGCTCTGCAAATTTAGTAGATTCTCTTTTATAAGAGAAATTTTATTTATAAGAGTGTGTCCCTCTAGGTACCAAGAAGAGAATGACAAAATCTCTAGAAACTTTATTAAGGAGAAGGTAGGAACTTAATTCTGCATTACAATGACACTCTTGTTTCTTGTGATTTGCCTGAAAACCTCCCATAACTGGCTTCCCACCCCACAACATACTCTTTTGTTTTTAGTTGGAGATTGTATATAAGGTGACGGCTTGGGACATTTTAGGGAGTAACAGTTTTCTGGGTATTCTCCATGTATACAGGAGGTATACATGTTTTTAAACTCCTGTTTGTTTTTCTCCTATTAATCTATCTTTTATTATGGAGGAGTCTAAGCCAAAGACCTAGAAGAATAAAAGGAAAATTATTTTTCCTCTCACATTGTGCTCAACAAAATTTTAAATATATTTTATTTTTAACATTTATTTTTTTATTTTTGAGACAGAAGGAGACAGAGCATGGGGGGAGGGTCAGAGAGAGAGGGAGACACAGAATCTGAAGCAGGCTCCAGGCCCTGAGCTGTCAGCACAGAGCCCGATGGGCTCGAACTCACAGGCCGGCGCAAGATCATGACCTGAGCTGAAGTCGGACGCTTAACCGACTGAACCACCCAGGCGCCCCTGAATATATTTTAAAGGTGGCAGTACACTGGCCAAGCCAGTCCAGTATCTTCCAGGCTTCTTTAGACCTGCTTTTTCACTGTCTATGCTTTGAAATGCAGTGAGTTTTCCTTCTAGGCAATGCACAATGCTCTGAGTCGATTATTGATAGTCTCTTTTAGTTACCCTCAGTTTGACCTGGGAAATTTTGGAACATATCTTAAGTTCTATGAATGGGTTCTAGAGGTATTTCCAGATCTCTGCATAAGAATGCTTGTGTATTACAAGAGAGGTACAGTTTGGTCCTAATTCTGAATTCTCCGCTTTTACCATTCTCTTTGGCTCTTCTGTTGGCCCTGTCATGGGGAATCTGAGTTACAGTACTTCCAGTTTCTCTTCCCGAATATAATTTCAAGTGAAGGAGACACCAAACATTTCCATCTAGGATAACATTTATTTCCAATGCCCTAGTTCTCAAAGCCACTAGTATTCCAGGTTAACCAAAGCTGCACCTAATCATAATATCCTGACAAGGTACTTAATATATTTAAATTAAAAAAAAAAATGAAAGCAGGAAGAGAATACATAGGTCTAGTGTAGTTGAACCCTGAGTAAAGAAACTACATATGTATATGGTTTAATGAACCAAGAATGAGGCCATTCTTGCAAGAAAAGTTCTGTTACAGCAAAATATCAAAGAGGCAATACTCTCTTAAAGATGGATTAATCTCATAAAGAGTTCATTGAAGATATTTTCTAAGCCATAGATAGGAAGGTAACATATAGTCACAAATTGACTTAGAGTATTATACCAAGCATAATAAGGAATTTTCTGATTATGGAAGCAATTAAAAGATCTGTCTTTCTAACTACTCAGAATAGTGTGTGTTTTCTTAAGTGGGTTAAAATTCAACTTGATGGCTATTTAGAAAACAGTTAAATGGTGATGATTAGACTGCTTTACTGAATCTGTTACTATTTTCAAAAAAGATAAAAATGACTTCAACTTTACCTAACAAAATAATACACTGAAGAGGTGGTTATTTTTCAAAAACAAACAAACAAACAAAAAAACAACCCAATAAAACTTTTCTAACAGCCAATCTATTTCAGGTGTTGTGCAAGTTTTTCTTTTTCCTCAAGCCATGTGAATGTTGGTGAATAGCGATTCTGGTATTGCAATCAACAGCTTAAATGTTTAGGATTATCATATAAGCTGCACACTGTTTGGACAGGAATGTGGCTCTAACAACTTCAGGGATGTCTACTGAATCCAGCAGAAAGTCTCTGGTCTGTTCCTCTTCAATCTCACAGGTTCCGCCCAGAGGAGACCTTTTAGAAATTCTTCACTGACTACCAATCTTCTTTGGATTAAATGTAAATAAATAACAAATAATAAATACCAGGCCCTGATATTTACACTTCACTTTCTTTTACAGCCTCATTTCCCCTCGTTGTCCCATGATTCTTGTGGTCCAGTCACTCTGAACCATTCACAAGTGTCTCTAGAAGACATCTTTCTGATACTTGCTCATGTATTTTTGTACATGCTGCTCCTTTCCTTGGAAGTTCCTGGAATAGGTACCTGATGATCCTCCCTGGCCATAGTTCAATTATTATTTCTTTTGTGAAACTCTCCTTTATTTCTCTAGACAGAATTTATATTTGGCTCTGTTTGTTCAGATTCTAACTTGCCCTACACTCTATGGTTGTATTTCTTATATTATTTCAGTTTATTTATTTATTTTTTTTGCATTATTTCAGATGTCCTTCTGATTATTTATATTTTACTTAACTAGAATAAAATTAAGGATTTATCACCTGGACAGAATGAAATGTTTTATTTCAAGGATTTACCAACCACTCTTACCCTTGTCATAAACAATTCCAGCACAAGGACATAACTATGTGGCCCTATACAGTCTTTAATGTTACTACAGAATTAGAAGCAAACGTGGTGTTATTTCATTCAGTTCATTTCCTTCTCACAGTTCTAAAAGTCTGAAGACACTTGTGAATTATTTCTTGCTTCTCATCATCACCCAGAGATCTCATCCACATGCTATTTACACTTTTGTCCAGATCATTATCTGTTTTGACAATCACCCTGCCTAAAACCACTCTCTAGCAGTTAATATCTTTTTGTCAGAAATGGGTCTCACTGCTAGAACCCCTACAAGGCTATGCAGTTGATGAAAAATCAAGAGAATACATTTATCAATTCAGATTTTAGGGTGCATTTTATGAAAGGGAAAAATGAATGAATTTGCTTGCTTTAAGAGGAAATTAGTACTCCTTCTCTTTCATTCAGGGAAGACCTAATGTCTTACTGATTTATGTTTAACTCCTTTCATTTCCTTTTAAGTAAAAAGGAAGAGCAGGGCCTTTATTCTCCCCATGGTACATAATTTATTCAGCATGTCTCATTCTTCCTTTGAAGCTGTGAACATTGGCATCTAGGAGAATTCTAGGAGAATTCCTGAATTCTAGGAGAAAGAGTTAATATACGTAAACATGTAAAACAGAAGAAGATGAAAAAAAAAGAAGGATGTTGAAATTAAATCCGACAAACTAGAAAACTTCTTATAGAAAGAAGTATCCACAAAGATGTAACAATATTAACAGCAGACTCTCTGAGTTAAAGTAGTAGCTTGGAATAAGGGTCACAATTGCAATGCCATGGGACAAATTCTAATGGAAAAAGAAATTCAACTTACCTGAGAGTTTTATTGGTACAGCTTTATTTTTAATTTGGAAATGTGTGGTGTAGTTTACCCCTAACTAGAATACCATGAAACCAATCCAAAAGCATGTTGATTCCCTATTCTTCAGATGTTGGATTTCTGTGAACTATAAAAGCCAAGTGTACTGCATGTCTGTTAAGGTTATGAATTCAATGTTTATGGTCCATAGTAAATGTGACTGGTAAAAATTTACAGTGAGTTACATTTTCCTGTGATTTGAACTATTTCAAATTGCATGAAGGTTTTTCCATTGTGTTGTCTTATTTCCAAGGAGTGAACATAACCACAAGGAAACTTCTTCCCATACCCAGTTGTGGTTATTTATGGTAAACATTACAATGTGATTATGGCTATAATGCAATGTTTTATTTTGTATCTAATTTCTTTCCAAAAAAGTAAATGCCCACCATGACTACTAATCAAAGACTCAAATGTTTTGGACAGAGTTCAGTGCATGGATTTCTGCTTTCACTTAAAGGAATTGAGAAAAAAGATTTATATTCATTTAGATCCCTGGAGTTAACACCCAGATTAAAACCAGATTATTCAATATATTGAGGACTCATTTTCTTCTTTTGTAGAGAGGATAATACTAGATATGAAAGTACTTTGAACTACAAAGAATAAACTATTTCCTGCAGGACCAGGTGGGACTTAGACATCATAGTGCACATATATTCTGATATCCACAAAACCTGGGAAATACCGTTACCAAATGCCAAGAGTCAAAATTTCGAAGCAAGCCTTTCTTCACATACCTGCTTCATATGTGGTGGCGTGGGCAGTCATGCTCCATGTGCTTGACCTTCTGTTTTTTGTTACCATGACCGAGAACTCATACATCGTGTTGGGTTTGAGGCCTGTTGCTGTGTAACTCAGAGATGTTGTGTCTTCTGACTGTACAAGTGGGACAGAAGCAAAGAGAAAAAAGATGAACTCTATCAACTTGGTAAATCAAAACATGTACAGAGACTACCAAATAACCAAAAAAGAGTCTGTTTCCAAACAGCATAAAAGCTGTGACACAGAACTGGCTCTACTTCCCTTCTGTCAACCAGTTTACACTGGCTGATTATATATCTAAAACATGGTGGATAAAATCAGATGTGATGTTGTCCAGAGGGGCGGCCAGCTGATCAATTTTCCAAGGAGGGCAATAACCAGTGTGTCAGGACCAGTTCTGTTTGCTTCTCAGTTCCGTTTTTAAGGTAATCTTCACTGACTTTAACTGTAATTTGTTTGTAATAATCCACAATACATTTTACAATAATCAAAATACATTTTATGTCTTTTAAGTAGCTCATCATGATTGTTTTTCACTAGTAATAAAATTAGTTTTTAGAGTTTTACTACTTGTGATTTTAAAAAAAATCTTTAGAGTACAAACTTTTAGTGATCCCAGAATCTATTTGAGTATTATAAAGAAAAAAGACAAAAGCAATTGTTGTAGTATGTGGTCTTCTTTTGTTCAGTGTTCACATTAAACACACATTTAAGTATGGTCACTGGAGCAACTGATTAGGAAGGGAATGACAAATTGGGTATTAAAAGATTATATTAGTGTTAATATTATTTGTCTTTTGAAACCATTCTTTTTCAATTAAATAGCAGGTTAAAGATATTTTAGTAGAAAGTAAATTATCTATTTTTATTACTTACTCAAGAAATCAAAAGGGTAATGAAAAAAATACGTTAATCTTCCAGGTTAATGCATATTTTCAATATGATCAGGCAAATTTAGCCTATTTATGCCTCTATGATACTTGTAAGTATCAGGTTATGCTTGGTATTTAAATCTTGACCCTCCTCCAAAGTTTCATATTTATTTTTACTTTTATATTCACTACCTTTGTTATATATCTATGTCTGGAAAATCAAGGAAAGATCTTTTTCCCCACCTATGTCACACCTATCTCCTCCCATACTACTGTAGTGTGGTATATCTTTTTTATTGTACTATGAATCCTTAGATTATAGCTATGAAAATCCTACATTTCATTACAAAACCAAATAAATATTTAACTGTACTAATAACATTTTGATGATGTGCCCATCCATCCTATTAAAGTGATAACCTCATAAACATCTATCAGAAGCTCTTCTTTAAAAAAGCTATAAAAATGTGGGCCCTAAGTAAATGTAAAAATACATTGTAGGCTCAGGAAGATGGAATCCCATCAAATGAAACACAACATAGGCAGCTAGTACCTGACATGCTGAAATATAACTTCCAATCCTGTCTTCTTCACTATCATGAACACTTCTAAGTCTTACAAATGGAAATAAGGGGAGAAATGGGATGATGATGATGAAATACTTCAGTTAGGAAAAAAGGATCATACTTTTTATAAAACTAGTCTCTCTGACAATAAAAATCACTGGTGTTTGGGAGACCACTAAGTAATATTGTCCTTGTTTGCGTTTTAGAATGACATACTTGCATTCTGTAAATACCATGAATTCACTGTTTTCTCGGGAACTTCATGGAAGGTCGTTGCTCAGAATAAATCATTAGCCTAGAAGTACTTTGGAAATTCACGGTCAGCTATTTTTGTGAGCATAGACTACCCAGGTACTACCTCTCTGAGCCTCAGTTTGCTCATCCATAAAATGGAGATAACTGTAGCACTGACCTCCTGGCATTATTTAACGTGTAAAGTAAAACATAGTATCCAACCCAGGGAAGCTTTAGATAAATGTTAGCTACAGGATTTCATGCATTGTCTAATGTGATATTTAACTTTACACATGCATTAGGTTCCCTATTGGGAGGGATATCTCGAGGGTGAAACTGAGTCTTGAAAAACTCTGTACCTTCTGTAATACCCATGTTATATCTGGTAAGCACTAGTCAATACTCAATGAATGGGTTTTGAATAGAAATTTGTATAAAACATCATGTGATTAATCATTTTAGTAGAAACTAAATTACAGAACATTGTTCCTTCTGATAAGGAAAATCAAAACACAGTTTTAGACAATCAAAATATAAATGTCTGGATTAAGCCTTGATATGGGATTACATGAAGTAGAAGGGTACTCCCGTGGAGATAGCCTAGAAGAACGCCATAAGGTCATGCAAGCTCTAGCTGTAGTTTCTTGGGAAATTGTTTTTCAAGTTATACAACCTATCTATGTCTTCATAAAGGGATCTACATACATGCTTAATTACGGAGAAGCTTATTTTTTTTACAGTAGGTGTGAATAATCTAGTCATGTAGATGACAAGGAGATTGAGTAAATGCAGTGACATGACAGGGCACAGCAAAACCAATGCTTGTGCCCATGTCATCTGACTCCATGTACTGATTTTTCTGCCTCTATCTTGTACGTGCTCTGCCTACCTTCTAAAGCTGTCCTGGGGAGTGAAATGAAGTAATGGGCATGAAAGTAGTTTGAAAAGCTCACAATGGAAGATCAAAGCATTCCATTACCATTATTTGTAAAACTTAAGTTTATTGTACTACTTTCTAGGGGACTAGATACGTTCTGTATTTATCTTTGCTACCCAACGTACTCCACTCTGTCCTCTAACTCTCTTCTTCACAGGGTGTAGATGTAGAGCATGGGTGCGTAAGAAGGGGGACAGAATGTTAGTAACTAAAAGCCTTAGGTCAGGGAAGATGGTGGGAAGAGGAACATTTAAAATCTTTGTGTTCTATTCCCAGATATCAATCCATGAGAGAAATCAGCCTCCACTTACAAAATAGCTTTTGGGTTGAGTCTGACTTTGCAGGCATTCTTTGTGAGACTCAATAATTCTGTGTCTGCTGTATTAACTATTCAACTGAAATAATTTGCCTCAAGAAATTTTGGAACTTAAGCCATTATGCAGAGAACAATCATTGTCCCTCAGAACATTTCACATACTGGCAAAGTACCCATTGCCATTCTGTGAAATGAAGGTATCAAGAAAGTACAGCAATTATGAACATAAAAATTTTAAGGTAGTCTTTTAAAAGCAAACTTAGAATTGGGCAATCTGTATATAAAGAGAGACAAAAAAATGTTCTTATGTATTTCATTGGTTGTCCTATCTGATAATGTTATCTTTATTTATAGTTCTGCTGAGTCTTAAATCTAATACTGCAAGGAGATGGATAGGGTACTTACAACATATGTTACATCAATGATACTATTTGGACTTGCCTGGAGAGTTTTTCCAAATACCTGACCTAGCAGGGCAGCAGTAACAAAGAAAGCTTTTAAAAATGGTTTCGCCTAAAAACTGATATATGATGAAATGTGAGTTTTATGCCACTTAAAATTTCAAAGAGACTAGAAGGAGATCCAGCATGGCTACAGGAAGAGAGAGAGGCAGATTTAGAATATTATTGGTGGGATTTTGCTTTATCTCCAGGTTCTTTAGAGTCTGACACTCCCAAAGGATACTGTCATCCCTGAAATCACCACTGGCTAGAGGCAGGATTAAGCAGGATGGCAGTTTAGTGGAAAGAACACTGGATAAGATATCAGGAGGTTCAAATTCTGAGAGGTATTGCAGTAGAGTGGTAAAGAGAAGGCACCTAAGGGTCATACGAAGAAGCAGGAGGACCAGGATTGAACTATTGGTTCCTTGGTTATTTGGTTGTTGGGTACCATGTATGATCTTATTTTTAAAGCTACCTTCTTGATCCCAAATCCTCATCTTGTAAAGCCTTATATTTTAAATGAGCATTCATATATTATCTCACATGAGTAGCTTATGAATTCTTTGAAGTGTAGCAATGGAACTGAGTGTCTTACCCATTGCAAAGTTATAAATAATATGTTAAGTAGCAACAACTAAGCTGTGTTTAACTGCCTCTATAATCTAGTGCAGTTCTAGGTGCACAGTAGGTACCTGATAGTCACCTGTTGTTTTTCTCATTTTTGTCTATATTTTGTGTACTGTTTGTATATACTAATATTGTGGCAGGCTTAGGAGGTAACAAAGTTGTGCCCATATGTAACTATATGTTGGAGTTACTTAGGCCGGCTGACAGAGATTTAAAAATAATGAAGAAAATGCCTCAAATATCTATCTCTACAGAGCTCTTAACAGAGTTATGGGATGAGTCGGTGAAATGGGTTGGTCTCATTCATATTAGTCAAAGGGGAGTGTGCACTGTGGTTTTCTTTACCACATGAGGGTGTTTCAAGGCTAACTGAGGAGGTAGATGCCAATGGCTTCGAGTGCTTTCTAAAGACCTTATTACAAAATCTTCTGTGTTCCCAGTCATATTCGCTGTCAAATGAGTCTCTGTAGCATTAATAGGGTTGCCTTTGGTGTCAATCTAGAGTCCAAATAAAAAGAAAGACACCAAAATCTATACAGAAAACTAATGTGGAGCCCTGCTATTTTCAAAGAAAAATGGCATTCCCCTGTACAGAATCAGATTATTTATACAGACGCAGCATCTGGTGGAACTCAAATAACATTTTGCATTTCTTAATGTTTTTCTACCTTGCCTTAGAATTGTTTCCTAAGATACAACTATTCCCATTCTAATTTTAGATATTGAGTTATTAAAATGCCTTGTTTTCCACTTAGTGCCACTGCAGCAAAATGACTCATGACAGCCCAGGAAGCATTTAAAACAATGTATTAAGCAAATGACAGTTCATTTCAAATTTTACACTATCAATTAGAACTTCACCTTGTACTTCGCATTCGCAGAAAAGCTGGTCCTCCACCGGACAGTGTAAAGTCGCACTTCAGATGTTTTTTGGTTCTTAGGGACAGAGTTGTCTGCCCAGCTGACCCTCACAGCATCGTGGGTAAGAGCCACAGCCTGTACACCTACTGGTGGGAGCATGGGGGTGGAGACATCTGGGACCGAGGTGGGGAAATCATCAAGCAAAGGATAATAATCAACTGGGTCAGTGGGATCTGGGTTTAAAAACCCGCCAAATGAAACAAACAAATAAATACATAAATAAAAGAGTTAAAAAAATAAATATCAGTGGTAACACATCACAATGAGTTAAATGCATGGCAATAATGATGAAAGGGAACATGAGAAGAACAGAAAAAAATACAATTAATTCAATCGGAAAACTCATTAGAAACAGTATTGCTATGTTATAAAAATAACTGACTCTTTTCTATAATTCACTCATTTCCTTACAGTGGTTTTATCAACTCCACTTTTGGTGGTCACTTCTAGTTATATATTTTAAAAGTCCACTTTTTCTTGGAGTGTTGCTTCTTAAAATGTTTAGCATAGAACTTAACAGTTTTATAAATACACAGATAAAATAACAAGATCCAAAGGAGTGTTTGGTTTATTTCCTGCTGTAAAGGAAATAAGTGCCTATCTAATATCTGTTTGCTTATGTTTGTTTATTTTTCTCCCTTTCTAACTTGATTTGGTTTCCCTAACACTTTCATTATTGCTTAGCTTATATCTGCATAAGTATTGTTTAAGCAAGAAACAAACAAGAAAGACCAAAGGACCCTGCAGTCCTTAGCACTCTGTCTATGGCTATGATTGCATAAAACTAGACTGACCAAGTCCATGGTCCACATGGTCCAATGATATGTTTGATAACTAGGTTTCTTGTAGCACTTGGTACAGCAGGTTTTCTCAGATCAAAATCCTTAAAGAAAGCATGAAGTGTCCGTTTTACCCACATTCTCACAGAGTAATTAGGTAAGTTTTTAGACTTTTAAGGCATACCTAGATTCTATATTACTTGTTCCAAAATGTCAGGTTCCACGGAAAGACTTTATGTTATTGACGGGGAGACAGAACGAACTGTGTGAGGTACACACATGCTTTGATCCATTAACATAATCAGAACCTGCATAATGCTGTGTGTGGTTTTATAAAATCCTCTAGAAAAATTGTGTACTCTTTTTACGCTGGGGGTATCAGAATCAGAGGAGCTTATTTTCTGACTGTAGTAAGGTTCCAATTTTGAGTCTTTGATTTTATACCTAGGACTTTTACACTTTTGAAATTTCACCTTTAAATCATGTAATATTGTATTCTCACTAAGAAAAAGGAGCCTTCAGGCTGGGCCTATGATGACCTGGTAAAATGTGGAATATCTGAAGCAGTATACATACAGAGCTTATATTTTTAAATAGCCTAGTTCCAAGCACAGCAGCTGCTGGCTGGTTTTGTTGATTACTTCACTTTGTCCACTGTATTTCAAATGCCTATCCCCTACTCATTGCTCTGTTTTCCAATGAATTATTTAGTAGTTTACTGGGCTGTGGTCTTTGGAGCAAAATATAAAACCCGAAAACAAAAACAGAACAAAAGGAAAGGGGAAAAAAAAGAGAAAGAGAGAGAAAGAAAAATGTGTGTTTAAAATTTAATGACAGAGCCCAGGCTTTCCATATTTCCTTTGATGTGTCTTTTTATTAAGGGCTCCTTTAAACCCAAATGGATTTATGAAATGATGAAAGGGGAGCTGAAGAGCATCAAGGAGGATCCTGATCAGTCATCAGGTTGGTGCCCTGGTGGCAGGTGTTTTGGCCAAACTGAGGCTGGTGCTGCCTCACTTGTTTCTATTCTTAGCCGACTTTCCAAGAAGAAGGTTATACACACAGGAAGACTGAATGTGTTATACCTGATTTGTTGTTTCTTTGCTTAACCTGGCTCTTACACCTATATGAATAATAATAATCTTCCACAGGTGCCATATATGAGGTTTTAAAAAGTAGCAATTCTACTAAAAGAAATGTTAGCATTCAGCCTGGCTGTTTTTGGATTGTAGAATACTATATTTTTCATGACTTGTGGAGTTTCTTGGAGTCTCAGTTCCAGAATGCGTTCCCTAAATTTCAAGTAATGTTGTTTATTGGTATTTATCTATGGACTTACATAATTTAAGAATTTCTATCTCTGGCCAAGTTTTTCTTGACTTTTTTAAGGCAATTTGTTTTCGGGCATGGCTTGTCACTTATCTCCTTTAAGTTGCAAATTTATACCATCAAATACAAGAGCCACTAATTACATGGGCAATTTAAGTTTGAATTAATTAAAATTAAATACAATTAAAAAATCACTTCTGTTGCACTAGCCAATTTTAAGTGTTCCATGGCCATAGAAGCCAATCTATCATCTTGGATAGTATAGATATGGAAATTTTCCAATAAAGCAGAATGTTCTAGTGGATGGCAAGCCCTACACTAAACACATAAATGCCACATACACTGCTAATTATCTTTCTCTCAGGAGAGAAACTGCTTGAGTAGTTAAGTTAAAAATATTCTTTTGTTGCTGAACAACTTTTTCCAGTTTTCAGGTGCCTTATATGTTACTGATTTGCAGTGGTTATATTCAAGAGTAAAAACTAAATAAATCAAAAATTAAAAGGGCAAAACATAGCCTCAAAACTTTTGCTAAAAAGAGAAGCCTATTTGGTTCCTAATAGATGTTTTGGTAAGAGTTCATGAATTTTTGGCTAACACGCCAAAGTTCAAAGCAAGCTTTGAAAATAATAACATAATTTTGCATCTGGATTATACTTCATTCAGACATTGTTGAAACAGTTGAGAATAAACAAGTTCAAACGACACATCTCTTTATTCCTTTGCCCTCTTCCCTTATCCAGGCTCAAAATATCTTGTTCTTGCAACAATAAGAAATAAAAAGCTCTACTGAAAACTAAAAACTCTTCACATACCCATTTGACCTGGTGAAACTTTCCTCAGCTCTAATACTAATATATTCAGGATGAAATGAGGCTCCAGAGTGTGCCAACATCTAAGAGCATATACTTGTAGAAAGCATCATGGCCCGATACTTACTCCAGCCTGATGCATTTATTGCCTGCGATTTTTTACTTACTTTATTCTGTCCTCTTCCAAGTCTTCCCAAGGGAATACTTGGGAGAAGCTCAAAGACAGAGAATGTCTTCTCTGTGGCATTATGACACATTTATTGATAGAATTTTCCCAGAGCCTTAACCTTTGATTCCATTTATTTGTCCTTTGTTCTCCATGATGTGGGGAAACACAGTAAGTCTGCCACATCCAAGAAAATTGTATACTTTTCCTCTGGAAAGAACTGATTTTATTCATTCCTCTTCAACCCCTTACTGACTCTGCTTCATTTAGAAAATGCCTCTCACAATTTCTAAGTTTTGGCATCCATTTATTTCCCAGATCCATTAGGATTAGAGTCCAATCAGGAAAAAAAATAGTCTTATGGATCACTGGTATTTTAGAAACCACTCTGGGAATGCCATATGCCGAGGATTAAACAATGACAATAAATGTGAAGGCAGAAGTTAATGTCCCAAATGGTTCTTTTTGAGCAACTTATCTTCAGTTTATCTCAACTCTACTATTTTTACTACTACTACTACTACTACTACTTTCTGCTCAAAAATTGATTTTTTTGGGGCGTGGTCATCTAAGTGTCCCTTCTTTGTGGGCTCTACTTTTGATAAGAAAATAGTTTGAAATAGTGACAGTATTACTAATTTGTGTGGCCTGACCACAAGCTCAAAGTCCTGTTGATGAGCCGGTGCTCAACATCTTTCACCAGAGGCAGGAAAAAGATGGACTAAAAAAAAAAAATTATGGGAAGGACAAGTACAGCTAAAGTAGCTCATTATTTCCCAAAGAGTCCTGCTGCTGGCAGACTAAGAACATAAGGGGAAATGAAAGTTCTAGATACCTCCATCACGTTATGTTTCCATTCTGGACCTCCACATGCTTCATCTCTCTGTGTTTAGAGATCGTATGTTTGACAGTAAAGATTCTCTAAGGTAATACTTCTTATGTGCCCTTCTGGGGAGACATGAGTCCCTTGGGTAACACAATGAGAGACCTAAACGGTCTCCCCAGATAAATGAATATATTGACACATACCCCAAATTTTGCATACCACGTTAGGCAGGTCATAGACCTTGAAAGATTCAAGGAGACTGTGGAATAACAACTTTGCCTTACAAGAAAATCTGGTTGAAATCAATAAAGTGATGGTATATTCTGGGAACCATCATATGAATTCATTTTACAACTGTGTGTTCTTAAGATAGTCTATGAAAGGAGATCGTGAGTTTGGAAAATAAACTGTACAAAGTTTACATACATTTAGGGGGTAGCAAAAGATCCCACTATTTATTCTATTTTGATTTATTTCTCCTTGTCAGGAGGCATCTAGTAATTTTCCATGTCCTCCAGTTCTTGCTATGAAGTCCTGCTCTCAGATCCTTTATTCTCATTAAGGTGAAGATAGCTGATGAGTTAAATGAGGTCTGAGGCTCGTGAGTTTTGAAAGGGGGCAAGATCGAAGTGTTCATTAAAAAGATGGATCTCTTGAGTTTTACTTTCAGATTTTAGACATAAGGCTCTTGGAGGTGATTGTGTGACTTTCTAGTGACTCTGAACAGCTCCCCCCGGAATCTAGTGATTCTGAACAGAATAAGGGGGTACTTAATTCTATTTTTTTAAAGCAAGTTTCATGTCCAACATGGAGCCCAATATGGGGCTTGAACTTATAACCCTGAGATCAAGACATGAGCTGAGATCAAGAGTTGGACACTTAACCCACTGAGCCACCCCGGTGCCTTGTACTTATTCTATTTTTGAGTAAGTCCAGCCTTACTCCACAAATAGTCTCCATAAATGTCCTGGATCTCACTCCTTTCTGAGTTCCTTGGGCTCTTTTTCTCTTGTGTGCTGCCTTTACACTCTAACTCACATAAGAATTCCTAGAGGTGTTAAACCTCAGAAGCAGCAAGTACTTCCAATGTCATGATGCTCTGGGCACTGTTGAGTGACCTGTAGTTCCTGGTTCAGGGAAAGGCCACCTGTATGACTCAGCCTAGTCCAAACCAGTCCCAGGAGGTCAGTCCTTCCTTGTGATATTAGCTTGAAGGATCTTCTGTAGAGAAGCATGTGGCCATCTGGGCATTTGGTGGCTTTTATGTGGAAACTTTCCTGCCTAAATTGTGCTGGTCTGCAAGATGAAACAAGATGCTCAGGAGAATGAAGAGTGGTATTGGGGAATCAAAGTATGAGTTATTGAAGAAGACAGAGAAGAAGAGATCCCTATTCTCGAAGCCCACATACTAATTTATAGACTGACTTCCTCTCAATTTTGAAAACCAAGAAAATAATGAAATATGTGTGTGTATATATGTATACATGTATATCCAAACACACAGACACACACGACACACACACACACACACACATACATACTCATAAGGCTCAGAACATGACTACATACATTTTGGTTTTTTTCTTTGTATTTTGTTTTATTTTGTTTTAGGCATTTGGTTTTGTTTTTGCCACCACAACTCAAACACTGACTACCTTGTCACGAGAGGATTAACTATTTTAGCTTACCTGTTATAGATCTGGTGGTGGCACTTTCATAAAGAGGAACTCCTTCTCCTGCATTGTTAAAAGCTTTTAGGGAGATGACATAATGGGAACTTGACTCTGAAGAAAAACAGAAAGAAAATAAACATGTTGATTTATTTAGTGTACTGAAATATCCAGGATAAACATTGTCCCCCAATACAATTTAATATGATCTATTAAGTAAATTGTTGCTTAAACATGAGTGAGTTTGCTTCTGGGAACTAGGTGGCAGTGGTGACAATACAGTTTTTGATCTTCCTGAATCTCCACAAAAAAAGAGACTGAATGGGGGTGTCTGGGTGGTTCAGTCAATTAAGCATCTGATTTCTGCTTAGGTCATGATCTCACGTTTCATGAGTTTGAGCCCCACATCCAGCTTTGTGCTGACAGCTCAGAGTGTGAAGCCTGTTTTGGATTCTGTGTCTCCCTCTCTCTGCCCCCCCCTCAAAAATAAATAAACATAAAAAAAAAGAGAGAGACTGAATGACTAGATAGAAAACCAAAAGCATCTGGATAATTACAGCAAACGTAGGTGATGAGCTGTATATACTCTTAAACTCTCAAATCCAACTGGATGTGGACAAACCACTACCAACCTTAGGACTTGCATGTTATCAGCAGCTATGTAGGAGAAATCAGAGGGAAGCATCAAACTTGAAAACAGGGTAATTCTAAAATAACCATCACCTAATGCTAGAAAATTCAGAAGACCAATCTGATAACATAACCAATCTGATAACCAATCTGAGTAAATACAAATACTCAAAAGTAGCTTGGAATATCTCCTCTCCAGAACAGGACTTATGCTGGGGACAAAGTACTGGGTACAGAGTTACAATCTGAGCAGACAGAAGTAACAGAAATGAAAGGGAAGAGAAAGTCTAGATAAAAGTAGGGGAGAGGAATAATCATGAAAACTTAGAAAACAAGTTGCCATACAGTTTTCAGTGTGTATCAGGGGTTGGCCAACTTGTCTCGTAAAGGGCCCAGATAGCAAATTTTAGCTTTACAGATCGCATTGTCTCTGTCATGTATTCACCTGTGTTTGTTTGTTTGGTTGGTTGTTTACAACTCTTCAAAAATGTAAAAAACATTGTTAGTTCAGTGGGGTCCAAACAAAAATAGGACCTGGGCCAGATGTGACCCACAGGCTACAATTTACAGAGTCCTGAGCTCTGGCCCAATGAAAGCAACAGAAGGAGCTGTGTGGATTTAGAAAAACACATTAAACAGGAACATAGGGAACATAGGGAAACAGGTCACATGAAAGCAAGCAACAAAAGTCTGTTGAGGTTAAATGCCTTACAAAATAAAATGAGGAGAATGCCACTTCTATAGACAAGCACACTCCCAAAAAGGGATTGAAAATACACAGGAAAGTAGGTCACACCTGTGATTGACTATTTCAAAATGAGCTAAACCACATTAAGAAAATTAGATGCCAGATATTCAAGAGTAACATAAATTAGAATTAGAAAAAAAATAGAAGTGAGGTGGCATAACTCAAGAAAGAATAGGTAAGTAAAAACATAATTTTCAAAATAAAGCGTGACTAATGAACAAACAAGCTCAAGGAAAAACAAACACAAAACAAAAAGAAACGAAGAGAGAGTAAAATAGAATTCAGGAGAGAGTGATGAACAGAAGGAAGTTCTAACTGATGAGTAATGCAGTTCTAACTGATGAAAAAGAAAACCAAAGAAAGACAATGGAGCAAATACAAAAGAGTGGAATTCAAGAAATGTTTGGGGAGTTAAAAAAAATCTTTTAGGCATCTGGACAGAAATAATACATGACCTATCAGAGGACAATTAAATTATGATCAGACTTTTGCACAGTCCCATTTTATGCCAGAGGGAATTGAAGTAATTTATTTGAGATATTCAAGGTAAGAAAATGTAATTGAAGGAGTTTATAGTTAGCAAAAGTTAACTTTAAACATGATGGCACACCCAAGCTGGTATCAACATATATGCAACCAGGGAATGTTGCTTCCTTGATCCTGAGAGCTACTAGAAAATGAGCTTTCGACATCCTAAATGACCAAGAGAGATGCAACCCAATAGTTAACTGGTGAACAACAAATGCTAGGAACTAAGATGAGGTGAGAGTTAAAAGGAGAAGATTTTATTTTTGTAATGACTACATGTTCTGACACTGTAGCTAGTCTATAATCATAAGTCAAAACTAAGGGAGAATAGGGGTACTGTATGCAAAAATAAATGTTTCGGTAATTATTATTCCTGGTAATACCATTATTCTTGTTATGCTGAGACTAATGCAATATTGGATAAAGCAAATGAATAATCATGAGAAATTATAATCCTATCATCCCGTGTCCTTAAGAACCAGAAAATTAGTGTGGATTAAAGGACACACTGATGTAAAATAGAAGAAGTATATAAGGTCTTATGTTCCTAAAATTTAATTGGAAAAACTCAGTTTAAACTCAAAAGGCATTTTCTCTCTGTTGTAGTTCTACCCACTGAAGAAGTCTAGAGATATTGTCAGTAGGGGTGCTTGTTAGCACCCCTAATGTCCCGATTAGGATTTTGAGAAAAATACTTTTTTGCACTTCAAGAAACAAGGGGTTTTTTAAAACCTGGTTGATTCCTGGGCTGAGGTAGGATGCATATCAATTGAGCCTGAAACATGTTGATGTAACCAGATAGGAAGCAACCAAAGACTAATAGGCTCATGTCAAATGGATTCAGGAATCAAATTGAAGAGGCTCCAGCAGACCAAAGATGAAGACAATCTGAGATTCAATAAAGGTAAGAGTTGCAGTGAATTGAAACCCAGCAAATACATGTGAATGTATGAATTCATAAAGATATTTTAAAAAATAACAAAAGTGGGGCACCTCAGTCGGTTAAGCATCTGACTCTTGGCTTTGGCTTATGTCATGATCTCGTAGTTCATGAGCTTGAGCCCCCTGACAGGCTCTGTGCTGACTTTGCAGAGCTTGCTTGGGATTTTCTCTCTCCCTTTCTCTCTGCGTCTCCCCTGCATGTGCACACACTCTCTCTCTCATAATAAATCAACTTAAATAAATAAATAATAAATAATAAAAGTCGGTGACTTCTGAGGTTGACAGATAACCAAATTGTTATCTTGAAAATTAGGTAAAGGATCAAACATTGTGTATTTCTTAAATAAACTCTATGACTGTGTAACCAACAGAGTGTGAGGGGAAGCATCCATTTATAATCTCATTCCAACTAACAAGTAAAAACCCAATGATAGAATTCAAATATTACTATTTTGCAGCTCTAATGAACAAAAGGATATGGGCATTAGTATTTGTGATGGCTAAGATAAAATACAGATATCTAGGCACTACGTATCTCCGAATAAAAGAACTCCCTCCCTCTAGAGTCTTGCCAAAGGATGGAATCTACTTAGTCTGATCAAACCTCTAGATTCAAATGCGAGTTTGCAGGAATAGAGCAAAGAAACAGTTCAGTCCAACTAATGATAATTCATTAAGCTATATATTTGTTGCATGTAGTTTTCTTTATCTGTCTTTTATTTAACAATTAAAAAAAGCTTTAAAAATGAGTGAATTTAGGGGCACCCAGGTGATTCATTCAGTTGAGTGTCTGACTCTTGGTTTCGGCTCAGGTCATCATCTCATGGTTTGGTTCCTGAGTTTGAGCCCTGCATTGGGCTCTCGGCTGACAGAGGAGAGTCTGCTTGAGGTTTGATCTCTCTCCCTCTCTCTCTGCCCTTTCCCAGCTCATGTTCTCTCTCAAAATAAATAAACATCTTAAAAAAATAAGTGAATTTATCTCTGACAGTGTTCTTTGAAAATTGATTAGATGACTTTTTCTTCATGAAATTTTATGTAACCTAAATATTAGCATTCAAGATATTGACATTCCAAACCACAATGAGCCACAATATAGCAAGAGGAATAGAATAAAATTATGTTTAATGTAGTCAAAGGGCTTCAATTAAGTGAATTGCTTCCGCTACAAAAGAGGATACTTATTTATTAATTTTTGCTGTGAACCTAGTTTACTAATAAGAAAGTAATCGGTCAACAGTGATAAATACTCTTGGAGATACAAGATTATTTATAAAAGATACACCTCTGTTGTCAGTTTGCAACCATAATTCTGGGCAGAGAAAACAATGAACAATGAAAGATTGCATAAAATTAAGCAGTACAGTATATGACACTACTTGTGAATGCTATGTGAGTTTAGAGGACTGGAAAATTAGTGAAGGACCGGGTCATCAAAGACTTCTTGGCAGATAATGGACTTGGAACTAGGGCTTGAGGATATGGGTAGGATTTAGAGATGGAAGGATAATAGAAAATAGAAAAAAATCTCAGGAAAAAGGCGTATGTTAAAAATGCAGTTAGATGTGTCAGCAAAAATACTTTTCTAGTAGGAAAAGCATCCTTTATGGTTATTGAAATGGAGACAACGTCTGATTTCATACACGTGACTTATCTGCACAATTACAATGTAAACGATTACATTATGTTCAAACCCTATATAATTGCCTTTTTGTGGGTAAAATTGCATTTGGTTTTACATTATACACATATAGTATATATTTGCATTTATCTATGTATTTATCAAGGGAGTGAGGAAGAGGTTAACAATTCCAAAACTCATGTGCTTGGGAATTAGGGTTTTGATTCTTGTTTGGTTTGGCTTGGTTTGACTTTAAATCTGAAGGAGAGAGAAAAGGAGAAAGGCAGAGAGAGGAGAGAGAGAGAGAGAGAGAGAGAGAGAGAGAGAGAGATTTAGTCACAAGGTGTGAGATACAATAGGGCAGAGAGGATGCTTGACAGTAATTCATCTAAGTAATTCACCTAAGGAATGGAGCCACCACTCTAAGCTGTTATTAGCATGTGGAAGGCAGTCTTCTAGCCTATCAGCGTATGAAACGTAGGCCACAAATCTATAAACTCAGATTCCTATATATACAACTACATGCAAATCTACACCTATTCATGGAAAAATAAATGATGAAGTCTGGGCTTCCTTAGTTAACATGTGAATCATAAGATCAACAGCAACAAAGTAGAAACTATACTAAGGAAGTAAGGAGTGTGAAAT